CAAAAAGTGTGAACCACGGAATGTGATAAGCCAGCATGATATAGTTTGGGCTGGAGTAGATTCCGAATGCATGGCTTACCAAATTCCATGATTCACACTCACTGAAACATTCAGTGAAACAGTCCGTCGAGGGCATGAGTCCACAACATTAGAGGCGGGGGGGCGTAGTTGAAATTCGTGAAGGTCAAGAGGCGAAACAAAAAAAAACGGCGAAAAGTCCGTTGTATCTTTGGAATTTGGGGGCCGCGGTTGCCAGCAAAGGGCCGTGTTTTTTGTAGTTCTCGAGGGCTTTGGCAAAAAGTTAACGAAGGGAGCGCGAAGTAGACAGAATTAAACCCTTTGCCGTTTCTTCAGCCATATTTACCTCCCTCTCGGTGGTCGTTTTTGAAGAAAAAGTGGGTGGAGTTGGTGTCCGTGTCAAATGGTCCCAGAATCGAAACAGTTCAGAGAGTTAATGTAATTTCAGTCGTGAATGAGGTGGCAGAGCCTTCAAGAACAGAAGTCGTGGCACTACTCGAAAGTGTGCAATAAGAGCGCTGAGGCTTTGCGCTGACCGCTGCAACTGCTGCCTTTTTTATTCGTTTACAGCGGTGTCTCCGTGCTCTCGCATGACGTGGTCTCGTTCATTTCCTCTCCTAGCACCGCTGTCACTCTCCGTCGCCTCACAACTGGCCTCAGAGGAGAAGGATGTACTTTATTCTAATATTCACCATGAATTTTTTACTTTTACCTTTGACTCTCATAAGCAATCCTCTGCACCTGTTAATTCATCCTCGACCGGAATAAGACCCCAATTGGATTGCGACTCATGCCTTCAACGAGCGTTTGCCTATGCAGTTCTCATCAAGCCACTATCAGTCACTTTTTGCAAAAGGCATGCTTGCGTCGCCAGCTTCAAGGCCGACCATATGATGCGATGCAATGCAATGTTGTGCAATGTTTGGTGTGCAGTAATTCAAACCAGCATATTTATTGTGGGAGCCTTGTTTTCTTCGGGGTTGCACCGTACCACCCCCTCCATCCGCAGCACTGTCAGTGTTTACTTTCAGTTATCTTCCGTCACCCTATCTTGTCACTGAAAATTACTGACATCTATACCGATCTTTATGGGTTTCCGATGTCAGGATGGAACCGAACTCATTGCAATGGAATTCCCATTCCTTCCCCAGTAGGAAAAATCGTTGAGGTCACCACTTTGTCATCAAATCACTATTTGTTCATTCAATTATTGCTACTTGGATTACTGGGCGACGTGGAATGAATTGGGGGTGGGGACACAAAAGGAAGCCTTGATGTACGGGCCATAGCATTATTTCTACGATTTCTTTCCATTTCTGCCAAGTCATAGACAGACGTCCTTCCTCTTTTGCAATAGTGGGGACATTAAATGGAGTGATTTGGCTGCTCCTTTGCCTCTTTTATTTCTGGTGCTCTGAGATGTCGCTTTCGGTTCTTCTACACTGTTGTTCAAAGTGATCGTTGTTCACCATTGTGCCACGAATATGATCAATTGATCGTAAAACTGTATGGGTTAGACCAAAACCACATTATAAACCACTTTTTGAGCAGAACAGAACGACAGTTTATCAATACGTAATCATTATACTGTATTTCTCTTTTGCTTACGTTGCTTACAACAACTTGGGTGCTGTATAAGAGCAGCCCATTCTTCCTTCAAATTAGACATCTGCGTTTGAGGCGATTCTAGAAGCACACGCAGCAAATAGTTCGTTGAAACAATCCCTCACGTAGATGAGGGACCACAACGACAGAAATATTACCGCTTTCGCGCTCGAAACGTGGGAGAAGGGCGTCTTAGCAGGAACTTATAACATGCATGCTGAGCATTCCTTGCATCTATGCTATCTTTCTGTTGCGACCCGCTGATGTCTGCGTTTCGCTTGTCGCACATGATCTTCCCTTTCTCCTCGCATTGGTCCGTCTCTGCGACTGTCTGCTTCGTCCACTCGCACTCAGAAGGGAGACCCTCCTTTTCAGTAATGTTGCTGCATTTTGCATTCTTTTAGGTTTTCTTGCTTGAGTGGGGGGGGGCTCCTTCATTAACTACTTCTTCAATATGTGAGCCTTCGAGGTAACAAATCTGACCCTTAGCTCCAGGCTCATATTAGGACTTATTGGTTTAGGCCTAGTCAAGAAATTTCTGGATCTCCATCGATGGGGGCTGTTGTGGCCATTAAGATAGCTTATCAGAATCGCTTGTTCAGTTTTGTTAACTGTTGTTTTTCGCCGCAGGTCGCGCTGTAAATGTTATCAAGAGGGTGCATGTTATTGGAAAACCGGCAGCTTGGCATCCTTTTCAGTAAAACGTACTCGCCTACTACAATACCGCTACTAATTTTTGTTCAATCGACGGAATGCGACGCAGTCAGTCCGTCGCAACCGTCGCCTCGCCATAACTCGTGAACAAATGGATTAGGTCATTCGAAATTATACCACTGGATAGCTCTGCTCACGAAGAATCCAACGGTTAGAGGACTATTGAGTTTCTCTCTGAATTTTCCGCTTCATTTTCATGAAATTTATCAAATTACCTGAGGCTGACTCATTAGCGAGCGTCGCTCGCTATAATTATAACCAGAGGGGAACAGATATTAATAGTAGTATTTAGCGAGTAATAAAGTTATTATATTACTCCTATGTAAAGTGAAAAAGAGACTGTTGTGTTCTTCAGATGGTGCTCGTCATTTTGATACCGAATTCATCCCAGGTGGGTCAGATTTGTTGAATGTCATTTTTACATGGAAAAGCTCCTTTGAGCCAAAGTATAGTGAAAACTAATAGGATCTGAGCCTTGTCACTTGACGTTCCTTTTCTACAGAGCTCACCCCATTGACGAAAAGATTTTGAAGTTCCTACCTAGCACCAGCTGTCAATTTCGAAGCCTCGAATCAGAGCGAAATTCACATTTTTTCATGGGAAGAAAACAGTACAAAAAATATACCATTGGAGTCCTCGGGAAAAATGGTTTTCATTGATATGAATTTCAAGTCACAAAATTCTCTATGCTTTTTTTTCTTTTTGTTTTTTCGAGTTTTCATCGCGGCCATCTCTCCAGCACTAGACCATTCTACCTAATTGGGCGTCTCGCCGAGCCGCTGACCTCCAGATGTCTCTCAATTACCAGAGGGCTTTTGTCGCACCTCAAGATCAACGAGAGAATGGTAGGACTGCGTTATGTTTCTATGAACAGCAAATCATCGAACTACTCTACTTTCTATCGTGATGCCCCCCCCCCCAGTTCCCAGTTCCCACTTCATGGGAACCAACGGGAGAAAGTGAGTCACGCTTCACTCAGTGGGTCACGATTTGGTAATAATATTATAGTAAGTGAGGGACACTATGACCTCCCAACAGAAACGTGGCACACAGTGATCTATTTTGAGTTAGCTAAGTTCGATGATTTGCTGTTCATAGAAAAATAACGCAGTCCTACCATTCTCTCGTTGATCTTGAGGTGCGACAAAAGCCCTCTGGTAATTGAGAGAGATCTGGAGGTCAGCGGCTCGGCGAGACGCCTAATTAGGTAGAATGGTCTAGTGCTGGAG